AGCTTGTGTTAATGTGCAGAATGTGCAGGAGAAGCTGGAGGAATGAGCTTGATAACCTAAAATTGCAGCACCAAAGCTGCCTAAATGTGACAGGAACTGCTTAGCTGTTGCCTTGGAAATAAATCATATTAAATATCTGCTAAAAGTCTGAATTGCGAATTTACTATTACTCTATACTTAACACTGCAGGTGGAGGCTATGCTAATGCAAGTCATTTCCTACAAAGTCATATGCTTCCTTTCAAACTCTTCTCATGACATGTTACATAAATATGATGAGATCTACCAAGATATGAATGGAGCACCAGTGTAACTTTAATGTCAGTGTCTTTGGTTTTCTTGGGTTGTCTTGGGTGCACAGACTGTGGTTGCCCATAGCAGGTGCAGCAGAGCAACATAGAAAGGCCTTGGTGAAATCAGGTATAATCAGAGAGTGTGTCATTAATAAATGTTTTCTTAGCCAGTAATGTGGCTGATGTCACTGCAATGAAACAGCTGTGCCAGTCAAAGGAAAATGTAATGATAACAGCCCAACAAACTAGAGATGGCATGATATCACTTTTTTATGTCAGATACCGATATCATAAATCTTCATACTCATAAATGTTCATACTCAAGTTTAAAAAAACTAAACTAAACTAAAGCTATTCTGTTATACCTGTATGCAAAAAATACACTGCACCCAAAATATTTCATAGTTCAGCAAAACTGATCAATCTAATAAACTTAAACCTACACCATCCTCCCTATTCTGGTATTTTAAAGAGTACTTAGCAGAAATATTAAACAACCTAACTAATAGGGTTTGCCAACTCCCAGCAAAAAGAAAAAAATTAGGGAACCACCCCCTGCCCTCCGCCTCATAATGCTAAAATTGACGTAATCAACTTTAATTTAATGCATGTGTTTAAAAAAAGTGCACAGCAATTAGTTATTTTTCTACAATAATTAAATAGATTCAACATCTTTCCTCAACAGAATTGCAGACTGCACAGATGGTATTTTCCCAAAGGAAAAAGTACTATAGCTTACTAAGTTATCAATTTGACTTAATAGTTCCTATATACAATAATGGACATCTATACATTTTACATCAGATGAAAAGATTCAGATAATTATTTATTAAAAGATAGACATGACAATTAGAAAGAAAAGTATGTCTTTGTGCCCCCCTTTTCCTGTTAATGCCCTATCGGCCCCCCTGGCTAAACTTTGCTAGATCCGCCCCTGCACAGTTACCAGCCGTCAGCTACGTAGAAAAGGATCCTGGTGTAGAAAGTAATATTAAATAAATTCTAACAACAGATTATCAAGTTTAAACGCTGTTGTTTATCTGCTGGTTTCCTCTTTCTGGGGCAAAGTGGGCGATAAATAAACAAGAGAGACGGACTTGTGACAGAAAAGCTGATCAGCTGATCATTAATCAGTTTCATGATTGAAGGAGCAGCAGGAGAGGGAGGGGGAGAGAAGAGGCAGTCGCTCCATATATCAGTTATTAAGCTTAAAGTGAGAATGCTTTACAAACATTCAAAGATGAACTTACACACTTGCTTTACTTCTCTGGGATACATTTCTCTGAGATTAAATGCTGGTTTGGTAGCGAGGCTCCAAATGCTCAACCAGACCTCCCACAGGTCTTGCACGCCACAGCCGCTCTATCACGTGACCCATACTCCTCCAACGTGCTATGGTTATGAGCTGAGTTACACCATGTCGCAAGTTTTGTGAGGTGCTTTTGTGATATTTAATGGATCGGATTACATTTTTTATTTCTTTCCGATATCCGATCCAATAATTTAGGCCAGTATTGGACCGATATCGATACGTAATATCGGATCGGTCCATCTTTACAACAAACCTTACAGTCTGCATTCAGAGTCAGACGGTGTGTGTGTCTTTTAACGACTGAAAATGTGACAATCAAAAATGATAAAGCCATTCATCTACCAGCATTGCTCCAATACTATTTCAGTTTGAAGTTTACTATATAAGACACACTGTGACATTATATCACAACAGGTTGCCTTTGCAGGAGTTTTTTAAGTGTGATTTTTATAGCAGCCTGGCATCATTTTCAGGTGATTTAATGAAGGTCTATGCTGGGATGGCTATGTGTAATGCTGCTGAAATCTGGTGTGGCGCTAGTCAAAATTTAGATACGGTAGATTTATGCACGTCCTGCTGGCGTGACATTGCTGCGGAGATTCAATAAACTGAAGGATAAGCTTGCTTTGCTGTACAAAGCATCTGTGGAGTTTTAGAATCACTCATATTAATATAGATGTGGACAGATTTATTGACAATGACGCTTCAACTGCAGTACACATTAATTTTTAATGTCAAATTAAAGGGATACACTGGCAGGGGAATGATTCGTTAAAATACCTTCTTTGTATTTCGGGCACAGTTTGTTCTTTGTTCATCAACCTCTGAAGTACCAGCGGTGTGGCATTGCTCAAAAAAGCAGATGTGATTTTAAACATGGTTCATCAACATTTCTACAACTCACTTTGCTTTGCTGCTTCATCCACCTGTGAATATTCCACCTGTTTGTGTCTCTCTTCACACCTGTGCACTCTGTGCCTGCTACCAAAATACCTCACAGATGCTTTAAGTAAACATCAGTGTCACGAAAATACCAAACTGTGCCACCACAAAACAAGCCCTTCGGATTTACTGAGGCTGTATTTATCCTCATCTTACTGAACTCCAAGTTTCCCAAGACAACTATATGGAAAATTAGCCCATATCCTCTCTGGGTCTGCTAATATATGGATGCAAAGTGACTCGTAAAATACTGCCGGGAGTGTTTTGATTAAGTCGGCTATGCTTTAATTAGGGCAAATCCCACTCACCCAACTGGAGTCAAATGGTCTATTACCAAGGGATAGAGTATGAGAGAAGTTCATTGCTTTCAGTTTGATAGCTACCTGATAGCCGCCGTTAAAGATGATCGGTGTACTTGATCTGAACGAAAATAATACTCGTTTGAGTAAAGTCCTGAGAAGAATTAAGTACAAACTTCCAGGAATTAAGGAGGTAAGTAGCAGCCGTGGGCTGCCATTCAAATGCAATTGATTAATTGATCATCAGCCAGTGTGAGCACCTCTATAAAAGCTGAAGTTGCCAGACCATAAAATGTTAAGAAAAACTGCAAAAAATCCAAGAGCTACATCTCAGACTCTGCATGCCTCGAATATTAAAATTCACATTGTACAATTAGAAAAAGAACATGACTTGTTTAGAAGACAGGGCATTTTCTGTCTCAAATGTTACAAAGACAAGTTGCTTCTGGTCAAATCCCAAGACTTCTAGAATAATGTGTATTTGACAGACGAGACCAATGGGGTCCTAATGCACATCGGCAACCAAGTGTCGAGCACAGTAGCAGAGGGGTGACGACTTGGAATTGTTTTGCAGCCACAGTACAAATCCCATTCAGTCTTCCCGTTACTTTGATTCACTTAACCTAACATTAGCAATCAGGATAATCACTTGCACGGAGCTGATTATCAGCTTGCAAAGTTAAACCCATGATTTACACAAGGTTTGCACATTCACGTGAAGAGGGTGGTGATGGCAGCATTTCATCAATGGCAATTATGGATCAGTGTAGACTGACATTAGAGCAGCATATTTTACAAAGGAGGAAAAAGGGGAAAAAATGAATAGGTTAAAGACATAACACAGACTGAAAATAACATAGCTGCTTCAAACAAATCAGCGTGTGTGAGAAGAAAAGGACTGTACAGTAATTTAGTATTAAAAGTTTTGTGCGAATGTGTGTGTGTTTCAAACACTTCAATCAGTGAAACTAGAAAAGAGCTGCTACATTAATATCAACTGTGTAAGTTAGGAGACTTATCAATATCATAACTCTATCATTAAGAAATATATATACATATATTGAAAATGAGTATTTAATTAATATTAGACAGTTTTTGTTGTTACTTAGCAACCTTGGTTGTCTTTAATCCAATTAAGAATAAATATAAAAGCAGATTTCAATTGCAGCCTTAGTCTGCATATAGATTTGAAATAAAGTACAAACAGAGGTCCTAATGTAGGATAATATATTACTGCTTATTTCATAAGAATAACATTTTTCCAACTGGAAAAATCAAAGTATCAAACAGCAAGATTTTAGATTGAAAGAGCTTCCTAATATTCATGCAAACACCCGGGAATGGTAATGCTTTTCTGGAGAACTGGAGGCTCAGTAGATGGTGATTTCATACCTGATGATCCCTGATCTGGAACCTGATTAGGGATCTGCTCTTTAGCAGGTTACGTTACCAGCATAACTTACCATGATGAGAGTTTTGTTTTTGTAGTACAGAAAACCCAGGGCCAGTCTGACATTACCTGGATATGAGAAAATACTGCTTCATAGTACAGGTCTCGGGCAGCTTGCAGTCATGCATCATGCAACAGCTAAAGCTTGGCCCAAACTGGGTCATGAAGGAGAATTATTTTGAGCGCAGCAGCAAATCTACAACAGAATGGGTGAAAGTGAAAAGAATCAAGGTGTTACAGTGACCCAGTCAAAGTCCTAACCTCAGCCCCACTGACATGCTGTGGCAGCCTTGCATAAAGACTAACCTCGTTTAAGGAAAAAATTCTCCACAACCATGAGCGAGACTGATAAAGTCACACAGAAAGTGTCTCCTTCAAATAATTGATGGTAAAGGTGGTTCTACAAACTACTGAATCAGGGAGTGTACTCAAGTTTTCACAGGACTCTGCAGTCCTGTGAAAACTTTTTTTTTCACACGACTGTATAAGGACACTGAATATTTCGGCTCATGCTGCATTGCAGGATCAAACTTTCTAAATGTTGTTGACTTTCCTTAACTTTTTGGCTATATATCCTAATTTTAAAAATGCATTTAAAGTACCATTTCCTTGGGAGATTCTTTCCTTCAATATGAGTAATTCTCTGTCTCTCATGTTTTTCTTTTCTTTCTTTCTTTCTTTTTTCCATGTGTGTCTTACCGGCAGGCTTATTAAACCTGGAGCAGCTCCTCAGGCAGTTCCTCATCTCCAAGGAGACTCTGTCTGTGCGCATGCTTGATGACAGCCAGGACCCGACCCCACTCCTAAAGGAGATTCGAGATGACAAGACTCCCACCATAATAGTCGATGCCAATGCCACAATGTCACATATCATTTTGGAGCGGGTTAGTATGGGACACACGATAGCCGTGATCTGTATGCACTGATAACGCTCTCTTTATTCCGTGCCTGCGGTCTGGGATTAATACCACTCCACATTCATATAAATCTCAAAAAGTGAAAGCGAGAGAAGAACGCCGGTGGCAACAATTGTTCAAGGATAACTGTTCAACTTTTTCCAGTATTTGGGGAAAGTTGGAAAAGTTTTAAGTCGTTTAGTGTTGAATTGCAAGATGGATGATAAGAATTTGTGTTTAAGTGAGCACAGGTTTTCAAAGACAGTTATGCTCAAAATCTAAGCCTAAATTAAAAAGGAAATGAACGGAAGCGATATTGCCAAACAAGCATGTCCTTTCAAATTACTGCACATGAAGGAGTGCATAAAATCCAGTCGTATCCCAATGACTGAGTGTCGAGAAGTGAGATTTCACCAAATGTTTTACAGGTTAATTTAAGAACAGACTCATAAGACAAAGACCTTTTCTCCACTTTTTGTACCTTACATACATTTCATTTAAAGTGTTTTTTCTTTAAGACAGTGTATCACATGAAGTGAATTTATTATCTACTGGTTCCTCCTCGTTTACATAAACAGAGAAAAAACGACTGACAACATCAGTGAGTGCAGTTTCTGTCAGAAGCATATCAGTGTGACCTTTGCATGGTTTCTTTGCTAATGGCACATACCAGTAATTAATGCTTTGGAACATTAATACGACCTTAGACGCATTCACTTTAATGTGCAGTGCTGTGAAAAAGTATTTTCCCCCTTTCTGATTTCTTTTTTTTCTTTTTTCTTTTTTGCATATTTGTCACAATTCGATGTTTCAGATGTTTTCAAATATTTTGCTTTTACATTTTGCAAAGATAACCTGAGTAAATGCAAAATCCTGTTTCTTAATGATGATTTCATTTATTAAGGCAAAAAGTCTGTCCAAACCTACATGGCCTTGTGTAAAAATGATTTTGCTCCCTTGACCTAATATTTAGCTGTGGCAGCAAGAACTGCAGTCAAGCATTTGTAATAAGTGGCGATGAGTCTTTGACATCATTGTGGAGGAATTTTGACCGGCCTGTGTAAGGTCACGCCGAACCATCTCAATCTGATTTAAGTCTGGATGTTGACTAGGCCACTCCAAAATGTTATTTAATTTTGTTTTATTTTATTTTATTTTATTTTAGCCATTCAAGTGGCATTTAGCTTCACAAACCCCTTCAGGCTTTCCTGGTGCAGAGCAGAATTCATGGTTCCATCAATTACAGCAATAACTGACCAACACATTACCTCCACCCTGTTTGAGTGTTGGTGTGATGTTCTTTTTATGACATGCTGTTAGTGTTAAGCCAGATGTAACAGGACGTTCCAAAAATGTTCAGCTTTTGTCTCATCAGTCCAGGATATCCACCAGATGGTGGATCCCCAAAACAAGCCTTTGTGTTCTTTTCAGTCAGCAGTTTGGTGGAGCTCTGCTACGGATGCTGTTTTCGCGCTTCTTATTGTTGAATCCCGAATTCTAATCTAATCTAATTGCATTTGGATGGTTTTGGTAGACCAGGCCTCCCCTGAAAGTTTTCTCCATTTGTGGATAATGGATCTTGCTGGGGTTCTCTGGAGTCCCAGATCCATAGAAATGGCATAGTTGCCATGACTGACAGATGTCAGTGACATTGTTTTGTGAATTGCATGTGTTGATTTTTGAGAACTTTTAGCCTACTTCATGTTCTCAGACAGGTTCTATTAAAGTGATTTCTTGATTTAGGAAGGGTAGTGGTAACCAGGGCTTGGTCATGGCCAGTGAAAGTCAAATCAACTAAAAATGTGGTTAATCACCGTTAATTCATGTCTGGGGAGGGCAATCACTTTTTCAACCTGGGCCTGGTTGGTTTGGTTATTTTTATCCCTTAATAAAAAAAAATCATAATTTAAAAACTGCATTTTGTATTTAATCTTGTAATTTTTGTCTAATTAGTTATATTTTGGCAAATATCGCAAAAGAAAGAAAAATCTGTTTTTACGGCAATATAATACTTCTACTCATACAGCTCCTGCTGTTTGGACATTTATGCTGTAAAAAGTAATAATGGGATCGGTGCAGGTTGGAGCTGAAGAAGCGAGGGTGTGTGGCAGCAGCATATGGTCTCTTAGTAATTAATACACACCTCATTATTTCTTGAAGACAATAGATGGATAGCTAGAGTGGAGGTGACAATGAGTGGGGGCAGAAGAGGGTTGGGAGAGGGATGGAGGAGAAGATGATTCTCTTGTTTTTTCATTATTTTAATTGTTCCCTGTTTTTATATATATTTATATATATATATATATACACACACACACACACACACACACACACACACACACACACACACACACACATATATGTCACAGTAGTTTTCAGTCTAAGTAAAGTTTTCAGGTTGTCTTTCAGTGGTCATCTAGTCACCATAGCAACCGTCGACCACAGAGCAGCAGGAGTCCACACTGGACTGTCTCTTTCTCTCTGTGTGTTCTCCATCTGTCTCTTCAGTTTGAATATGGAGTTGGTCTTTCTTCTCACCACTCTCTGTTCTCTCTGTGTTTTCTCTGCACCCAAATGCAGTGAAGATGATTTCACTTTATTTCTTCACACCACCCTCGCCATGTGGTCTTGTTCATCCATCTCCCTGGCTCTCGCATAGCCCGTCTTCTTTCTGCGTCACGCTGTCTGTCTCTGCCTGTCAAAAGACAGTCCTGTGGCAGGGTGGTAGAAAGTTGGCAATCAAACCTCATATGAAGTGTGCGGTTGCCAAACATATCAAAGCTCTGCACTGGAATATTCACGAGTCTCAGATAATCATAAGAGCGCCAAGCTTGTCTAAAGGGACAGGAATGGCCTATGTCATGCAAGACATTGCCCCTTATTAGTTTGTTTACATCTTACTTCAAACCGTCTTCAGGCAAAGGTCTCACTCTCTGAGGTTTTAGCATTCAGACGGGTTTAGGTCAGCATTTTGTGTTTAATCTCATTTAGTCAGGCCTCCCAGTTCTGTGCACTGTTTATTACAAGACTTTGTCCAGTATATATGGTGCAGTGCAAACTGTGCACTCTGACCAAAAGCTGTGGTTGAACAACCACAAGATCAAAAGTAAAAGAAAAACCCAAAACAAAACGCAAGAAGGCTTATTTCAAAAGTAGCAAAAGAGACCGAAGGGATTTTTCATCAGCCATTAGCTATGGCGGTGTTGTGCATCCTGAATAAAGTGTGGGTAGCAAACAAAGCGTTCTGGGTCATAATGTCATTTTCTGTTTGGTGCTATTAAAGGCAGAGGTCACCCACAGAAAAGAGGCAGTGGCTTGAAATATTCAGTTTTTTTATGTATTTTCTGCAAAGAGAAAACATTTCAGCCGCCTTGTACCATTAGCTACCCTTACCTGCCGTGTAACCCCAGGGCAGACCTTAACAAACAACCCCCCTGAAGCATGTAATTTACTGTGCATAGAGAAGCTCAGGGTACTTTTAGATTAATAGCATGCTTAAGTTTGCAAAAGTACAAGCTGTACAAAAACATCTTGAGCAGTCATTTGGAGTTTAATAATAAAAAGGCTTTTTTTGCTGTAATAATTAGCACCTTTCATGTTTTTAGTATTTTATTATTTACTGTAGTTTGAACACCTGATACTCACACACACACGGGTAAGATTTTGTTTGGCTCACAGGTAAATATCTGTTATTAAAGTCTTTTTGATGATGCACACTTAGAATAATTTCAGTGTGGAAACTATATGGATATTATTCTCATTTTCATTTGGATCAAACATCTGTTTCATCATAAGATAAAAGAGATAACCGATAACAAGTTTGATTTAATGTGACTTGTTCCTCTAAGAGAATCCAAACCACGGGAACATGAACTGTGGGACTTTTTAAAAACATTTTTTTTGTCAACGACTTGATATTTACAGGTTTATGGGTTTCAATTGGTTTTAATGATAATGTGCGTTGCGGCACTAAAATCTGTTCCTTCATGATTTTCTTTTATGATGGCTTTAATGAAATGAAACCATGAGAAGTTCACCCTGTCCTTCACAACTGCTCCTCACTCTGACTTGATTTAATCAAATTGTAAGACAGAGTGTCGAACGGCATACTAATGCTCCTCAGAAATTAACTGCTCTATTGAGAACCTTTGTCAGATAAGAATATGCCCGGTGTTATCGAGATGTGCAGTTGATCTGTCTGCTCACACCAGAGTTCGAGTTACACTGCATCACTGACCTCTCTACCCTGTTTTATCACTATCCCTGCTTTTTGCTTTGTTTTCCCACCTCTTTGTGTTTTTTTGACCTCAAACTTAATATCATTTTGTTCAATAACCAATCCAATGTGCCTTGCACTTTTCTTACATTCTCTTTAATCTTTCATCTGTCGCCCTTCCTGTCTTTTTTTTTTCTCTGCAGGCATCAGAGCTGGGAATGCTGTCAGTCTACTACACTTACATCTTCACCTCTCTGGTAAGAAGACGGAAAATGGCGTGGGCGTAACATGTTGATTTCGAGCGCTGTATTAAAATAGTACTTTAATTGATGCTCCTGCCTTGAATGAGTGATTGAGTGGATAGAGCTCTGACAGAGAAATTGTAGAGCTTCATTTAATCAGGGCTTTACAGGCAGTTTCTTTTCTGCTCGTTTAATGTGACTGCAAATTGGAGACCGAGTACAGTTGCTATTCTGGCCTCACTCACTGGGTGAAGTGCACTTCTGGACCAAACAAATAAATATTACTAATTATTATAAGTCATACTGCTGCAACTGCTGGTGTTGTTTGTGCTGCCATTTGTCTTGTAATTATAATTGTAGAAAGCCAGACGGGACCTGTTGAATGAATGAGGAAGTCATCATCATTAGAGTCTTTCTTTGTTTTTTTTTTTCTGATCAGTCTTGCTGTGATTCATCCATCCTTCCCTCCATTTGGCATTTTCGGGGGGCAAAATCTGGGGTCTCTCTCTCGACAAGTCATCGATCTATCACATTGGTTGTCTTGCTGCTTTTAAAGCTGAACTTACCTTTTTCCACATGGATTTAATCCCATTGCATTACATACTGTGAAGTGCACAGTTGCTTACTTTGATTATTGTGTTGCTTCATTACTAGGTGTTGTATACTGTTTACAGTGACACTGCCTTTAAAAGACGTGACAGCAGCAAACAGAGAAAGAGCTGAGGAGGCAGCTAAAGTAAAGGCTTCCTCACAAAGATGCTTTCGAAGCAGTAACAGGCCAACAGCTGAATCATTATCACTGAAATGTCTAAGAGGCCTTTCTTGAATATTTAATGTCCACTGGGCATGCTTAAAAACAAGCTTTTGCATGTTTTGTTACATGTGCTAAAAATGAAAAGGAAGTAATGGCGTTTGGTCACATAAAGGTTAAAGGATCCGTGAAAGTTATAGGACGATTGTAACGAAAGCGGCTTGGAGAAAAATTGATGCTACAGTAAACTTAGAAGATAGCTGCTCCCTAATAGAAATTAATGAGGTTCAAAACACTTTGCTCTAATAGTGCTGTAGAGATTATTCATATCAAGCTGATTTATGACTCATTAGGAGTGGGCTGCTGCCATCTTCATGTTTTCCTCCACAGTCTTTGACATAGTCACTTCTCTCCTTTCTCTTCTCTCTTTGTTCAGCCTGCTTGTTTTGTCTCTTGCCTCCACACCTCAATAAGATCATTGTCATCTGTTTCTTCCTTTGTTGCGATCCACTTGCAGACTAGCAGGTCTGCTGAAGAGCGGAACAAAGCACAGATTCATGGCAGATACAAGATGATGACCACAACCACCCTCTTACTACCATTACCACCATTTTCTTTAAAAAAAAAAAAAAAAAGAAAGAAAGAAAAGAAAAAGAAAAGAAGAAGAAGCAGCTATTGCTTAGTGGCAGCATTGTTAATAGTTTCAGTTAGCATCATTAAAATGGTCAGCACCGTGCCCCTGGTGTCATAAAACGGGGCGTGTGGAAAATAGAGAGTGCAGGACTCAGCAGACACAACATAACTTAAAATCATTGCTTTTATCGTGCAGGCAAAAGAGTAACCGAAGCAGAATATTAACAAACTAACTAACCAGAGTACCATAAGCTATACACACCACGATGGAGGATGTGACACAATACAGAGAGAGGAGATTGGGGTAGAGTGGAAACGCCTGGGAACGCATCTGAATAGAATCTACCTGAAATGAGACAGGAACCAGAACTGACACTTGACAGATGCGAGATGGGACTATCAAAATAAAACACTAAGTAACACCCAGGCTAAGACATGTGCATTTGACAAGATAGAGAACACAGACGGCCATGTAGACAGAATGCAGACAGAATAAAAAAGACGCAGGACATCACTGGGGAGACCAAAGGTAAACAAACAATGAAACGAGACAAGGACAGACTGGAAATGAAAGCAGAACTAAAAATAAAACAAGAAAAAGTAACACTAGAAAATAAAATACTCAAGAATTAGAACATAAACGATCTTATACCTTTAATGAAATAAATAACAAGTCCAGAAAAAATCTCGAAATACTGGGTCAAGGACCCAGGACCATGATACCTGTCAGGCTGAGATGTGATGCTGAAGCTGTAAGTGGAGAAAATAGAAGGACGTTTGTGTCCTTAGATGTTGTAATAAGTGATTCATAAGTGATTGTGCTCTTAATGGCCGTGCCGATTGCGCATTGTGTTCGTCACACACACACACACACACACACACACACACACACACACACACACACACACACA